CACGCACCCTACAGTGAAAATCTCTCAAAAAAAAAAAAAAAGAATGAATTATTTTATTTATTCATTCATTTTATTTTAATTTGACCAGAGACAACAGAGAGAGAGAGAGAGAAAGAGAGAGAGAGAGAGGGAAACTGAGAAAGCAAGCCACCAGGTGCGGGACTCAAACCGTGGTTGGCCATGAGGGAGTGTCCAGTGCCTTAACCACCATGCCACCTGCTGGTCCCTAACAATTTTCATCCTCAATATCACATACACAAACACACAAGTTATCAACATCAGCTATACTAGTTTGGCAGCCAAGAAAAGAACCAGATGAGTCTAGAACAAATAGAGAAATTTAATTTAGCTCAGCAACCAACTTCACTGCCTACTGGCCTCGTCTGTGAATTGACAAAATCTTGAATAAACTTACTTGTGCATCAGACTTAAAGTGATCCAGCTTGTACAGGAATCCTTACGTTTCTCCTCTTCTGACTAAGAAGTAATACATAGGGCTCCTAGAGAAGAATGGGAAAGGTTAAACAAATGAAAAAAGAAAAAGAAACAACTTCCAAGCAAAATGGACATTTTAAAACTACCCACTGAATTCATAAAAATGTTCCAAAAAAGAAGAAATGCGAATGGACAATAAAGTTTGAAAAGATTATTTTAAAACCCACTAACCAAAGGCCACCAAGAACACATCTACAGTCTTTAAAAAAAAAAAAAAAAAAAAATGGTAGGTTTAAAAAGTCATTAGAGGGGTGACCAGCAGGTGGCGTGATGGTTGAGGGCTCTGGACTCCCACATGGACGACCTTGGTTTGAGTCCCAGACCTGGTAGTTTGCTTTCTTACTTTTCCTCTCTTTCTCTTACTCTGTCTCTGGTCAAATAAAATAAATAAATAAATAAATAAAGTTAAATAAATAAAATAATTCTCTTTTTTTTGGAGAGGTTTTCGCTATAGGGTGCGTGTGCTCACCAGACAGACAGAGAGAAACAGAAAGCGAGAAATCACCCCCCAGGGGGGATGGTCACGCCGCAATCCCTTCTAATTCTTAAAAAAAAAAAAAAAAGGCATTAGCAGGACCAGCAGATGGTGTAGTGGTTATGTCACTGGACTCCCACCTAGTCAACCCCAGTTCAAGTCTGGTGACTTAAAACTCACAACAGGTGCATGTGCATACATGCCCAAGATCCCAAGAGGAGAATGGAGGGGAAGGGATTGCAGTGTAGCCATCTCCCTAGTGAGTGATTTCTCACTGTCTCTCTGTCTCTCTAGTGAGCACACATACCCTATAACAAAAATCTCTCTTAGAAAACAAACAAACAAACAAACAAACAGAAAAGGCACTGAGGGACTAGCAGGTGGTATGGTGGTTACATAGCTGGACTCCCACATGGCCAACTGCAGTTGAGATCCTGGACCCAGGAGCTTGAAAATCACACTGGGTGCATGTGTATGTGTGCCCAAGATCCCAGGAGGAGAATAGAGAAGGGATTGTGGCATGGCCATCCACCCTGAGGGGTGACTTCTCGCTTTCCATCTTTCTGTCTCTTTCTGTCTCTCTGGTGAGCACACACGCCCTATAGCAAAAGTCTCTCTAAAAAAAAAAATCATTAGGTTAATTTACCTTGCCAACAAGAGAGAAAACACCCTCGAGAAACTGTAGCACTCTCAGCAAGAGGAAGTTGGAAGAAGCTTCTTCTCACAGGATCTGGGATTGTGCTGAATTAGTCTAAGAACAGCTAAAGAAATGGGGATCAGTTGTGGATTGCAATTGTTCAACAAATTGGGGCAATTCAGTGACTAGATCTTCATTTTCGTCCTGGAAGAAGGATTAAAGGCTAACATTGTCATTGATACAGAAGCAGCAGCACGCAAGCTGGTCAGCGCAGGAGGTTTGATTGCTTTCACGGTTTCCAAGAGGCTTCGTGGCTGTCTTGTTCTACATGTAGCCACAGAGTGGACCTGTCTCCATCTTATTATATTCTAGAAAATGTTCTTTATGTTCATTTGGGAACATCGTGTTTCAGTTGCCAGCTTCCAAAAAGGATACTTAATATTTTTTCTTTTTTAATATATATATATAGAAGGACCAGAGTGACTCCATTTTTACAGGGCAACTCCATTTTGTTAAACCCACCATACTGAGAATCGGCGCCATTTCAAGGAGGCGAGCTGATCACATAGGAGAAGGTCCTAAGACCATCACCCCACCAGGGCTGGCTAATGAAAAAAAAAAACAAAGAAAATACCAGAGGCCAAGTAACTTTCTTGACCAGTGTAACAGTCTGACGACCAATCAGTAAAAGACAACTATGCCTCTTGTAATCTACAGCCACTGTATAGCCGCCTGAGTGCATTCCTCACCACCCCTCGACCTCCCCCACCGCTGAGCAGCCATAAAAAATCCAGCCCAACTAACACCGGGGCTCTCGACTCCGATCCGCTGTGTCGGTGATGGTGATGACTGAGAGTCCTGACTTGAGCCAGAATAAAAGTGACCCTTGTGTGCTTGCATTGGAATCAGCTCCTTGGTGGTCTTTTGGGAATTTCACAAACGGGACACAACAATATGTTTAAATTTTTACTTATTTATTTATTTTTAACTTGCTATAGGACACATGTGCTCACCAGAGAGACATACAGAGAGAGAGAGAGAGAGGGAAAGTGAGAAAGCAAGCCACCAGGTCTGGGACTTGAACTGTGGTTGACCGCATGGATTCTAGCATCCTAACCACCATCCCACCTGCTGGTCCCCATTTACATTATTACAAGATATCAACCCCATCAGCTGTTAAGTAAGTTAAGTAAAAGCAAAATTTTAGCAACAAATACCTTTTTGCACATATCTGATTGACAAAAATAAAAAAGTGTTAAGGAAATATAAAGAGACAGGTTTTCTCATACATTGAAGATACAGGGGGAACTGTCACAGCTTTTAAAAATTGTTGTTATGGGGGGGATGGCAGAGGTGGTGTGGTGGTTAAGGGTGTTGGACTCCCACATGGCCAACAATGAACCTGAACCCGCGGCTTGCTGTCTCTCTCTCTCCGTGTGTGTGTGTGTGTGTGTGTGTGTGTGTGTGTGTGTCTCACTCTGTCTCTCTCTGATCAAATTAAAATAAATAAAGTTAAAAGAATTTTTTTTTAAAAAATGTCATGGGGACCAGCAGGAGGCATAATGTTTATGCCACTGGACTCTCACATAGTTGACTGTGGTACGAGTCCCAGACCCAGTAGCTTAAAACTCACACCAGGCGCATGTGCATGAGTGCCCAAGATCCTTAGAGGAGAGTGGAGGAGAAAGGACTGCAGTGTAGCCATCCCCCCCAGGGAATGATTTCTCGCTTTCAGTCTCTCTCTCTCTGGAGAGCGCATGTGCCCTATATAAAAAACTTCTATAAATAAAGGAAATGATGTTAATAACTTGACTTCTTTGCTAACTCAACTCAAAGCAACCTTGTATAATAATTGATCAACACTGGCCCACGCCGTCCTCGAACGTCTAGTTCATTGCAGTCACCCGATTACTCTTGTAAAACTAAGACTGGCATTGTGGTCATTAATGCAATTTAGCCCGAAATGGTGTCCTAACCCAATTATTACTCAACCCGTAAAAGCGAAGCCACCTCACGTTACAGCTCCTGCTGCACTCCGCGCTGACGGACGGGTGTGAGGCCCAAGGACGGTAGCTGTGCAGTGTGCAGCTCAGGCCCTCGGGCTGCGTCCTCCATCCCTCTCATGCAACGGCTCGCTGTGTGCACAGGTTCCGAGGTCTGTGTGCGCAGGAGTCCATGCACTCTGGAAGGAAGCTGACTCGTTCTTCCGCTAGTTCGCTCCATTCGATGAAAACACCTGACTAGTGTAGTGACAAATGTTCCTTCGAACGTGAAGCACCAACTTACACCATTGGAAACAGAAATCTAAACATAAAGTGAATCATGACATGCTTATGGCTATTTCTAATACTATCATTCACTTGAAAAGCACAATATTATTATTATTTTCTACTCTAGTATTTGTACTCACAGGAGGGCTGAGTGGTCAACTAGAGAAGAAAATTTGAGATTTCTTTTTTTAAGATCTTTGCTATAAGGCACGTGCCTTTGCCAGAGAGACAAAGAGATACAGAAAGCAAGAAATCACCCCCTGGGAGGATGGTGACTGTACAATCCCTTCATTCAATTTACTATTTTTTTAAAAATTTGACCAGAGAGGGACACAGAGAGAGACAAAGAAAGTAAGAAAGCAAGCTACCAGCTCCAGGACTAGAACCATGGTCAACCAATGTGAAAGCGTCCAGCACCTTAACCACCACACCACCTGCGGGCTGCCCATCAATAAGATTCTTAAGGGGCCAGCAGGTGGCATGTTGGTTAAGGATGCTGGACTCCCACATGGCCCACTGCGGTTCTAGTCCCAGACCTGGCCGTTTGCTTTCTCACTCCCCCCCCACCTCTGTCCCTCTCTTCACAAATTAAAATAAATAAATAAATAAAGTTAAATAAAATATATTTTTTAAAACATATAAAAATAAGCTTCATAAAATCCCAAATTTGGGGGACCAGTAGATGGCGAAATGGTTACATAGCTACAATCCCACATAAGTCGACTGAGGTTCAATTCTGGACCCAGTGGCTTAAAATTCACACCAGGTGCGTGTGCGTACACACCCAAAATTCTGAGAGGAGAATGGAGAAGGGACTGCCGTGTGGTCAGCCCCCCAGGGGGTGATTTCTTGCTTGCTTTCTGTCTCTCTATAGCAAAAAATAAAATAAAATAAAATACCTCTCTCCTCAAAAAAAAGTTACACATGAAAAATAACACATGAAAATGCAAATCAAAACCACAACAAGACATTTCTCATTCGTTAGGATGGCTAATTTTCAAAAAAACGGAAAACAAGCTTTTTTGGTTTTGTTTCAATAATTATTTATTTAATTAATTCCACTTACCTTCGTTATTATTTTTCAATTTGACAAGAGAGAGAGAGAGAAAGGGAAAGTGAGAAAGCAAGTTGCCAGGTCTGGGACTCGAACTGTGATCAGCAATGCGGGATACCAGTGCCTTAACCACCATGCCACTTTCAGAAAACCAGTTTTGACAAGGATGTGGCAACACTGGAAACCCTGTGCATCGCTAGTAGGAACATAAAATGCTGCAGTGGCTGTGGACATAGTTTGGTGATTCCTCAAAAAGACACAGACTTGCCTCATCGCCCAGCAAGTCCACTCCTGCCTGTGTGCCCAGAAGGACCAAAAGCAGGGAGTCAGTGTCCCTGACCCTCGGTCTTCCCAGCAGCATTATTTATAATAGCCGAAAGGGACAGACACACAGGTGTCCAGTAGCAGGTGAGTGGATTTGCTTTTGTCTTGTTTCTGGTTTTTAAAGAATTATTCATTTAATTTTATTTATTTACTTATTTATTTAAGATTTGCTATAGGGCAGGTGCACCCACCAGAGAGAGATGAAGAGAGAGAGAGAAAGTGAGAAAGCAAGCTACCAGGTCCAGGACTTGAACTGCCGTTGACCAGGTGGGAGTTCATCTGGATACCCAACGGACTGGGAGAACCATCCCTGAAGCAGCAATAACCAGCAGAGAAAGAACAGCCAGGTTGGGGCAGGCAGGCCATGTGGTGGTTGGGGCGCTGGACTCCACATGGCTGACTGTGGGTGGGGTCATGGAGCTGGTGGCTTGCTTTCTCACTTTCCCTCTCTCTCTCTGATCAAATTAAAAGAGAGAGAGAGAGAGAATAACAAATAAAATTGAACAACTAATTCTTTTTTTTTGAAGAGAGACTTTTGCTATAGAGAGCATGTACTCACCAGAGAGACAAGACAGAAAGTGACAAATAACCCCACAGGGGGGATGGCCATGCTGTAATCCCTTTCCCTCCATTCTCCTCTTGGAATCTTGGGCACATATACACACATACCTGGCATGTTTTTTTTATTTATTTATTTATTTATTTATTTGGAGAGGTTTTGCTATAGGGCACATATGCTCACCAGAAAGAAAGAGACAGAAAGACAGAAAGCGAGAAATCACCCCCCAGGGTGGATGGCCATGTAACAATCCCCTCTTCTCTCGGGATCTTGGGCACACACACACATGCACCCAGTGTGAGTTTAAGCCACCAGGTCCAGGACTCGAACCACGGTCAACTACACGGGAGTCCAGCAACGTGGCCATTACGCCATCTGCAGGTCCCCCCAGTGTGTGTTTTAAGCCACTGGGGTTGGGACTCAAATCTCAGTTGACTATGTGGGAATTCAGCGATGTAACCAGTACTCCATCTCCTGGTCCCAAATTAAATAAATAATTATTTAAAAAGTAGTTGTTGGGGACACTGTCTCTCCAGTGAGCACACGTGCCCTATAAGCAAAACTTTCTCAAAAACAAAAAGGAATAGGACTGGCAGAAGATAACCTGGGCAAGAGATAACAGTCAGAAAAGCCTAGAGAAACAGTGTTTCAAGAAACAGTGTGGTGCGTTGGGAACCAGCAGTTAGCGTAATGGCCATGTCGCTGGACTCCCATGTAGTCGACCGCGGTTCGCGTCCTGGATCCAGTGGCTTAAAACTCACGCTGGGTGCATGTGCATGCGTGCCCAAGATCCCGAGAGGAGAAGGGATTGCAGCGTGACCATCCCCCCTGGGGGGTGATTTCTCGCTTTCTGTCTCTCTGTCTCTCTCTGTCTGGCGAGCGCACGCGCCCTATAGCGAAAACCTCTCCAAAAAAGAAAAAAAGAAACAGTGTGTTGCAGACTGGTGCATGGTGGTTAAGAGTGCTGGACACTCACATGGCCAACTGAGGTCCGAGTCCCAGACCTGGGGGCTTGCTTTCTCACTTTCTCTCTCTCACTCCGTCCCTCTCTGGTCAAATTAAAATTAATAAATAAAGATAAATAAAACAGTTCTTAACAAAAAAGAAAGAAACAGGATGATGGGCAGCAGGTGGCTTGGTGGTTAAGGCACTGGACTCCAACATGGCTGACTGCAGGTCAGGTCCTAGACCAGGCAGCTTGTCTGCGTGCATGCCCAAAATCCTGAGAGGAGAAGGGATTGTGGCATGGCCAACTCCCCCTCCCCAGGGGTCATTTCTCACTTTCCCACTCTCTGTCTCTCTCCAGGGAGCACACACACCCTATATCAAAAAACCTTAAGAAAGAAAGAAAGAAAAAGAAAAGAAACAAGGTGTTAATCTAAACGTTTAATGGAATTAGGTGAGGACAACGAACGAGCCTTTACAAGGATGATTTCAACCATCAGACTAGCAGGTCGGGAGCATGTTGTGCGGTAAACTCCCAGCACACATGACAAGTGATGGTCCAAGTGAGGACCCAGGACTAGCAGCGACAACGCCGCCAGGGAACCTGTTGAACATGGACACGTTGCGGCCTCACTGAGAACCTGTGATGTGTGGCCTGGTGATCTGTGCTTCACCAAGCCCCCTGGGTAATCCTGGCACCTGAGAAGCTGCCTTTAGGAGCAATCTCCTTCCTGCCAAACACATTTTTCTTTGGCTCCATTACTCTGTTGCAAAGTTGTTGGAGCCTGAACAACCGCATTTTGTTAATCCCCCATCTATTACTGTATAATAGGCCCCATATTGATTTTAACACTCTTGCCTATAACCAACCAACCAGCCAGCTACCTACTACTCCCTCCATTGGAAGATGCCTGCCTCCTTCACTTGAGCCACTTCTGCTCATTTGTCATCTAGTCAGGCCTGGTCTCCGCTACCTCACGGCCTCTCCTCGCGCACTTCTTCAACTTTAGATCATGCTTCCAAGTGAGCAAATCCCTAAATCACGGAGCTTAAGTTCCCAGGAGACATACGTTCTTGGTGAAACTGCAAACTTGGGAGAGTAATTTGGCATCATTTATTAAAACAGCAACAAAAACATAACCTTGGAGCCATGTGCAGTGGCATGTACCTGTCGTGCCAGCCACCCCAGAGGTTGAAGCAGGAGGATCATAAATTCTGAGCCCGCCTCTAAAAAGAACAAAACGAAACAAATCTTCAGCCCAATAATTCCACTTCCAAGGGCTGATCCTACAGACAGACCTGCACGTGAGCACCTGAAGGTGGTGTCGCAAAGAGGGAACTAGTAACCCTTCAGAGGAAATAGCTCACCAGGCAGGTTGCGACATTCAGTAGCAACTTATGGTTCAGAATGTCGCAGGGGACAATAAAGGTTCCCCTGTCTGAGGATCGCACACAGAGACCAACTCAGGTGGGCGTTTAACATAGGTTTATTCAAGGGGAAACTCACAAAGCAAATTGACGGTGGCTGGAGGCGTCGTAGTCTGGGGGGGGGGGGGGGGGGGACACGGACACACGTG